CTAGGAAGGGGAACTAGAAATCAGCACGTCCTACAGTGGAGTCTGCCAGGGAGAGCATTAACCCACACTGATAGTTGAGTCACCAGGACCAGGCTTTAGGGCCAGCATCTCAGTTGCTTTAATAAAGTCTTGAAAGTGGAAGGTTCTGGCCAGTTTCTGTGGTCTGCACCTTGGCACAGAGAGAAAGAGCTTGAGGGATGAACCTCTTACCTCTGTTTGACTGGCAGCGATCAGCTCATGTGGCTACCACTTATTATCTACTATGCTTCTCATAGTCCTTGGAGTAGACAGCATCTCTTCTCTCTAGATGAAGACACAAGTTTAGGCAGTGTTAGTAACTCAGCCAAAGCCACACAGCTAGTGAGGAGGGGGCTCCACTGGAACCCAGGGTCTAACCCCAGAGCAATGGGTTTCCCACTTTTACTGCTTCTGGGACCCAGCCCACCTCCAGATCAGAGGAAGCCATGGAGAGGCCCCCAGCTCTGGGCTCTGATATGTTCCGAGGGCACCACACCCGGGCTGGCCAATCCTGGACAGTCCCTTAAACTTCTCTAAGTTGGTTTCCTCATCTGGAACACAGATCGAAATACCTCTCATCTAGAGCTGTGAGCAGATGCGGTGAAGTAATACGTGTCAAATGCACCTGACGGTAGGTGGCAGAAGATGGGGTGTGAGGTCATCGCTGCCTGAGTGCCTCCTTGGCAGAGAAGAAAGAAAAAGGCAGGAGGGCCTCCATCCCCAGCCCAGGCCCCGTCCCAGTTCTCCCACCTTCCTCGGGAGCTGCCATTCTTCCAACTCACGGCAAACAGGAGCAGCAAAGACTTAAGTTCACGGAACATTTCTGAAAAGGTTAAAATCTAAAAAGCCTCTTAGCTCTATGAACTTTGTGGACATGATGCTAAGTGCAATAAGCCAGTCACAAAAGGACAGATTCTGTATGATTCCACTTATATAAGGCACATAGAGCAGTAAAATTCAGAGTGAAATGGTGGTGGTTTTGGGGGGAGGGGGAGGGGGAGTTTAATGGGGACAGAGTTTCAGTTTGACAAGGTGAAGAGGTCTGCAGGTGGATGGTGGGGATGGTTGCATATCAATGAGAATGTGCTTAATGTCACTGAACTGCACACTTAACAGTAATGAAGATGGTAAAAATTTTATGTTCTGTGTATTTTACCACAACAACAAAAAAAATTCGGGGGGGGGCACCTGCACATTTTGCTTAGGTTTTTTTTTTAGCTGTGGGAGCTCATTTCTGTATGGATTTGGTCTGATTACAGCAGAGTTACATTTTAAGAGGTGGGGGGCTCAAATTAATGTTTAAGGCACAGAATCACCCTTGGAAAATCCCTTAGTGAGTGAGAATAGGGCCAACATGGCAGGTTTTCCCTGTGGTGTTGGAACACTGTTTCTCTGAGCATCAGATGCAGCGGCGGATTTACATTCAGGGATCATAACAAAAGATATGCTCTGAGTGACTCCTAGGGCAGCTATTCACACTGAGGCACCCTCAGAACCAGGGTCTGCTGGGAAAACAGCAGGTTCCCAGTCTCCCTCCTGGTGCTTTGGGGCACCAACAAGCAGAATGGCCAGAATCCTCAGCCCCGTTGGAAGTGTGGTCTTATTTCTCTTCTTTCCCTCATGCAGAGTTGAATGAATCCAAGCTGAATGAGTGTGAAGTGGCCCTACCAAGGTGGCCTTTGTCCAGTCAAAGAGAACTGGACACGTGCCTTACACTAACCCCTCTTTCCAGCTAACTCTGATGGAATTTCAACCCTAAATTGTTCTCTGACCTCTGACTGGATCTGTTGGCCATAGAAAAATAGACCTCTTCCCCCACCAGGCACCCCTGCAGGCCATATCTCACAGATGCTCCCAGACACCTGCTCAAACCTGAAATTCTCCAACTTTAAAGGATCTTTTCAGACCTAAGATCCAATTCTTGGGACCAAAATTCAAACCTAAACCATGAAGTTCCTATCTTTTCAAAGAGCTCTATCTTCAAATTATAAAATACCCCCAGAGAAGTGGTTCAATCAAAACTCCTCAAAGACCCTATTAGATAAAGCAATGGGTATAAGCTGGCATTGTCTTTCAGACAAATTTGACCACCATCTCCTTCACAAGGGTTTTAGACAACACCTAGCTCACTTCCAGGCATGACAAGGGCTCCATAACAAATGAATGAATGACCAACTGCCCTGGGATGAGCCTGCCATCATTAATTTGGTGCTATTCTAAATCAATAGAATATTCTTAAAGATTTATTTATTTATTTGAGAGAGAGAGAGAGAGCAGGGGTGGGGGCAGAGGGAGAGGGAGAGAATCTCAAGCAGACTCCCCATTGAGCGTGGATTCCAGGACCCCGAGACCATGACTGTAGCCAAAATCAAAGTTAGATGCTTAACCGACTACGCCACCCAGGCGCCCCAATAGAATTTCTGATTGGCAATAAATTTGGGTTTTTATGCCCAAGGATTGAGAAGAAACTAAAAAACTGGGGGCTATGAACTTTAACCCCAATTTTGCCATTAAATACTTTGCTGATCTCCATGCAAGATTTTTTATCATGATTTTTCTCATCTGCAAAAATGGAAAGAAAAGGGACTTGTAGAAATACATTAAAAAATGAAAGAGAAAAAAAAGAACAATAAAATGCTTACCGGTGAAGTCGCTTATTTTTTTTTTTTACACTTTTTTGGTGTTTTATTTTATTTTTGTGTGTGTGTATTTATGTACTACATATGCTACATATGTATATGTAAATATACTCCTTGTGAACACTCCCCTTTGTCACTTTTTCTTATAAGGTTTATAAACAAAGGTAGAAGAACACTACAGATTTGTAAATAATACCTGTCAGCAAAAACCTATCCTTATTTTACATTAAAACCCATTGACCAAATATAGCTGGCAGTGGCTTCCAGGTCTAATTTTAAGCTCTATGTTGTGAAGTCGCTTATTTTTCTACCAGGCAATGCACTGAATTCCAAACCTTAACAGGGGAAAAGTGAGACCGAGACCGTTTGTGTTCAGTTGCATAACAATGGAAAGAGTCCCTCTGGGATCTCATGGTTAATTTCTCCACGTCAGTTCGGTTCCAAGCACCAGGTGAAAGACATGGCTGAGCTTGAAGACACAAAACTGTGAAAACAATAACCCTTTGCAGTGACAGAAAGAGTAAACAGTGAGAAGGAATCAAATATCGTGTCAAGTAGGAGGAGCTGAGGACCTGTCTTAGTGACAAAGTGTTGTTACTGGAAAGGGCTCTGTGCTGGGAGACTGAGATCCTGTGAGCTCCAGTCCCCATCTCTGTCATGGCACAACTGTGAAACCGAGAACGCACTGACACTCTTCCAGGCTTGTAAACTACTCAGCCAAGCTGCCCTGCTAATCCTTCGGGACTGGCTGTACAGTACTAACAAAGTTAGCACACAGATGAATTTTGGAAACTGTAAAGATGTTAGACCAGGTGTGGGGTTATTATCACTTCCCTTCCTCAATAGAAAAAAAACACTGAGGCACTGAAAAGATCATGAGCCTTTTGTTAGTCCACTGAGCAGGGACTAACTCCATATCCCCCCTACTCAACAATACCTGAAGAGGCAGGACTTCCTTGTCGGTGGCTTGGGCTCTGGAGTCTGATTGTCTGGGTTTCTCATCTCAACTCTGCCATTTATACCCTTTGTGATTTGACACAGTGACTGATTTCGCAAACTTCTGCCTCTTCATCTCTAACTTGTGGATGATGATGGTGATATTACTTAACAGAGTTGCAGTGAAGAGTAACTGTAGCATGTTGATATACCCATTATAGACCGAATCTTTGTGCCCCACCCTCCAAATTCATATGCTGAAGCCCTTACCCCCAGTGTGATGGTATTTGGAGGTGGGCCTTTAGGAAGTAATTAGATTTTGAGGTCATAAGAGTGGGGCCCCCGTCATGAGATTAATGTTCCTATGAAAAGAAAAGAAAGCTAAGCTTTCTCTCTCCAGCATGTGGGGATACAGCAAGAAGATGGCCATTTGCAAGCCAGGAGAAGGTCCTCAGTAAGAATAGAATCAGCCCACCCCTTGATCTTGAACTTCTTGACCACAAGAACTATGAAAAATAAATGTCTATTGGTTAAGCTTCCCAGTCTGCGGTTTTATACGGCAGCCTGAGAAGACTAATACATACCTGAAGAGCTTAGAACAGTGCCTGGTTCATAGTAAAACATTCAGTAAATATTAGCATATATTTACATATTTATTTGGCTTTTTTGAAACTTTATTAAGAAATATTACAGGCAGGGGCGCCTGGGTGGCTCAGCGTGTTCAGGGTCCAACTCTTGGCTTCGGCTCAAGTCATGATCTCATGGTCATGAGCTCCAAGTAGGGCTTAGCAGGGAGTCGGCTTGACGATTCTCTCTCTCCCTCTCCCTCCGCCCCTACTCCTGCTTGCTCTCTCTCTCTCAAATATATAAAATCTTTAAAAAATATATTGCAGGCATTCTAAAATGTTTAAAGGCTTAAAGAATGATCTAACAGTATACCCACCACCCAACATAAGGTATAAAACATTACCCATACAGCTGAAGCCCCCGTAAACCTTCCCCAACCACCTTCTTTCCTTCCCACCCAGCGGTAATCATGCTCCTGAATTTGGCACTTACCACTCCCGTGCGTTCCTTTATACTCTTACTCCACCTGTATGTATCTGTAAACAATGAGACTGAATCTTTAAGCCAGGACTGGCATGTGCCTCTTCCAAAAGGATTTAGGCATAGTATCTAGCCTAGCACAAAGTTGTTTGGGAAACCCATCTGTCCCCATTCATCATCTTGCTGTGTGTGTCTTTTCACCTTCCTGAGCAGGGAATGTGCCAATATCTCCAGGTGGACCAACTGATGATGCAAGCCATTAATTAGGTCTCCTATCAGCGGGTCTGTGTTTGTCAGAGACTATGGAACTACAACCCCCAGCCCAGCTCTTTGCTGATGCCTCCCCCTCCTCCCTTCCAGATGGAGATGAGGCTGCAGGACCAGCAGCTGGCCAGACAGCTCATGCGCCTGCGCAGTGACATCAACAAGCTAAAGATCGAGCAGACCTGTGACCTCCACAGGAGGATGCTCAACGATGCCACCTACGAGCTGGAGGAACGGGACGAGCTGTCTGATCTCTTCTGCGACTCCCCGCTCGCCTCCTCCTTCAGTCTCTCCACCCCACTCAAGCTCATTGGAGTCACCAAGATGAACATCAACTCCCGGAGGTTCTCTCTGTGCTGAGAAGCCCTAGAAGGGGGCGGAGGGACCAGAGCAGAGTGTCTGGGAGGCGGGGAGGGGGCGTGGGAAGGGCGTTGAGGCTGCGTTACCCTGAGTGGGTCTCCCCCGAGGCAGGGTTTCCCTGTGGCTGGTGAACCGTGGGCCCTCAGACCCACGGCAGGTGCTCTCTCAGGGGACCCCAACTGTGGAGCCCCACAACCCTCTGACTGTCCGTGACCCAAAGTGTTCTGCAGAAGGGCCGCTCCATCCAAATCTTCAATGAGACCTGGCTCCCAGTATGACACGTCTCCATCCTCCCCTCCCTGCCCCCCCATTCCTGTTTCCCGGAATCACTGGTGCTATGATCTGGGATCCCAAAGGGGGGCCCCCAAACACTGTGATTCTTGCAGAAAGCTTCCCCAAGGGCACTGAGCATCCAGGGAGCAGATGATTAGGTATGTCAAGTGAGCCCATCTGCTGTTGCCGTCTTCTAAGTACGGGCTCGTAGACAGGTGACTCAGCAGCCCTGTCAGGGACCCACCAGGAAAGGAAAACCAGGAGCAACGACAAAGTGGAGCTCGGGACCGCAGGCCCTACAGCCGCCGGGAGCGCCCCTGCTGGGCGCTGGCTGTGGTCACTCTTAGACCTTGGCACTACTGGTGTTACGTCGATTGTTTTCAGCGCGTGCCAGGACACACCCGGGCAGCGGGGGCGGGGCAAACACAGGTACCCTCTCTGTTGCCTGCCCTGGCCGCACACCCCAATCCCCGTCTCCAAAGAGCCCCTTTGCCGCCACCCTGCACCTCCAGGGGAGTGCCCGAGTGACTAGGCAAATCTGTCCATGGATTTCCCATCACCGAATTCTCCTGGTGGCATCACCTTTGTCCCCTTCTTGCCCCACCCCGCCCCCCCAGAAAGACTCGAGGGAGCTCGGAAGCTCACCCTGAGCCTCCTCTGACATTCTGTGCCTGATTTAAATCACTAATTTTAATTGAATCAGACTGTTACTACTCTGTTGCTAACTTGTTCACAACTGTTTGATTTTTGTCCACATGGTGATGCCAGTTGGGTAGGTCAAGTTCAGTAGTTTAGGATTTGATTTGAAAAGGTTCTCCCTACTGACAAGCATGAGGCCCAGCAAGCATGAGGACTGAGATCTCAACAGCAAGGAAAGTTAGCCTCGCGGAATGCCACGTGGCGCAGGTTCTCCCCCCAGCTGGGGGTACCTTTTGACGTCATCTAGTTCAAGCCTTCTTGTTCATAAAGGAGTAAAGTGAAACCAGGGAAAGAGGATGACTTCCCTCAGATTACACGGCTCCTTAGTGGCTACTATCAACAGGTTAAATCATTATTAAGAATGCCTAGACAGATCACGTGTCAATGAACTTGAACCCCAAAGACGGTCCTAATGTTTTGCCAAACCCACAAACTGCCAAGCCCTCTACTCTCCACCTCACGCAGCCCCTACACGTACCTCTCACTTTGCAATTCAGAATATTTGGGTCCAACTCAGAGCAATGCCTGGAAAGTGGACCCACAGAACACGTATTACCAATCACACTTCCATGGTCAGAGTAAGGTGTCCTGATGTTCTTTCATGTTTCATCCTCTCGTATAGTCTCGCTGGGGCCCGTGCACACTTCACACACACACACACACACACACACCCTGACCTACACTGGGAAGGTTGTTTTTCTTTAATGGGCTGGCAGTGCGAGGACGTGAATGAATGGTCCCTAGTTAGAAAAGAACTTTGTGTCTTCCTTGTGATTTCAAAGAGCCAGAGGCTTTATGCTTCCTTCGCAAAAGGTGTAACAACGTCGATAAGAGGTGTTTTCTGCCTGACTCTGAGCAGTGACTGAGGACCAGCGGACTGGTCCACAGAAGAGACCTGGGTGGGATGCCAGACCTTTTAGACCTGCTCCCCCTGAGGCAGGAAGGGAGGGGGATTTTCTCGACCCCGAGCTGTCTCTCCTCAGGGATTCTGTATGAGGACTGCCAAGTCCTACTGAGGTATTCTCGCCAGTCTTCTCTGAGATACGTCCTTGAGATGGCAGGGGTCAGGGTGGCCTCCACACGCCACCTGCTCTGGAGAGGCACACAGGTACACATACACCCACACGGGAAAGCCCATTCCATCTTCTGAAAATAATGCCAAATTGCCTTTTTTTTTTTCTTTCTAGAAATCAGTCATTACAGGAATTGAAAAAATTGGATTCAACTGAAGTGGCTTTAGTTGATTTTGTCAATCCAATTGAATTGGTGTCAACCTTGGCAATTTAGTTGTCCAGCTCACGTAATGTCCCCTTCCTTTCTTTGTTCTCTGAGAGCAAACCGAGATCGGGGCACACTTTTTGGAACAGGTTAGACATCTCAGCTCTTTTGCTTAGTTCACCCCCAAGAGAATTTAATTTGGGGATGAGGATGGAGGAGGAAGGGGAAGGGACCAGAGATGAGAGTGGAGGAGCCTGGGTGCGTCTCCTTACTCATTATCCAGTGTCTGTTAGCTCTCTTATTCCCACAGGGAACACAAATAACTCCGCACGTCAGCTCCCTGTTGTAAAGTCCCTGCTATGGGGGCTCAAGCGATGTCTATGGGTCCCCTGCCACCTAACCTGTGTTGCCAGCATCCTGGGGCCACCTTCTGGCCCACCACTTGTACACAATACTGTTTGTAGTTTAACTCATCATCTGCCCATCTCTGTGTCACCCCCAAGGACCGCGGGTGTAAACCACGAGGTCGCCGTTGACTCGCCACGCACGGCAGTGTGTGGTGCCTTCATGGACTCAGCAGAGATCACAGAGGCCCGGGGAGCCTGGGGAGGCTTGTGAGGACCTGGGCCGGCCCCGGGGCCTCCTCCCTGTAGCAATATCAAGTGCTATTACATAATCGATGGACAATTTATAATCTTATTTTTTATGACTCTTTGTTTCTATATTGCTGTTAGAAGAAGTGAAATAAAAATATTTCAAAAGAAGATACTATATAAGGGGGAGAAATTTGTTTTCTTTTACCTCATTCCTATTATAGCACACAGAGAAAGAAAGAGAAAGACAGAGGGAGAAAAGAGGGAGGAAGGGAGGAAAGATGGGTTTGGGATTTACTTTGGGACATGCTTTGGGACAGACTTTGGAGGTAAAGCCAACAAGATACACCAACAGCTTGGATGTGGAGTGTGAAGGAAATGCAGGAATGAAGAACCACCCTCTGGCCGGCAGCTGGATGGAGGGGGTGCCACTTACTGGGATGAAGATGCTTTGAGGGGAGCATGATTGGGGCAGAGGGGCAAGACCAGTAGCTATCTCCAGCATGATACGTTTAAATGTCTATTAGACATCCCAGAGGGGAATGAGTAAGTGGTTGGCTATAGGGACCTGGACTTCAGGAAAAGGCCAGTGTTGGAGACATAAATTTGGGATTCTGGATTTGGGTATTTGGATTATAGTAAAAGCACCATGCCTATATAAAGTCCTCAAGGAAGAGAGAGAGGACATAAGAGAAAGGCGCTAAGTACCACGTCCTGAGACTCTGACTTCTAGAGGTCTGGAGACCGAATGGAAGGTGATGAGCAGACTTTGGGGGGAGCAGAAGTGACCTTTCAAGGTTGGTGCAGCTTCTCCGTTCAGGGACACAGGCTGACGCTACGCTAGCTGCCCGGTGGCCCTAGCCAAGGGTATTCCTCTAGGACTGGTGACATCGGTCACCACAGTGGCTTCCAGAACCTCCTGCAGATCTTACCTAGCTTATTTAGAAAGGGGGTTTTGAACCATGTTGACAACATTCCCTTTGGCTTCTCTGCAGGAGCAGAAGCCTGTCCCCCCTCCTGACTCTCCGGCAACCCAGATGGGTACTGGCAGTGCAGGCAGACTCCCTGGGCCAGCTTCACAGAGGGCACCCCCCCATCACTCCCCTGCCTCCCCGCTTCTCCACACGGCAATGGCTAAAACTCTAAGAAAGGATGACTTGCCAGAGAGCATCCAGGGTCCCAAGGCAAACCTGAGTGAGGGTATGACAAGCCAGCCTCCTCATCTCCCCTTGGGGGGCCTCGCCTCCCCAGGCTGCTGGCCTGGGCACCCAGGGAAGGGTCCACCTGCCGCACGGTGAGCCTCACCTGGAAGAGTGGCATGGGGCGGGGGCCAAACAACGCTGTCCATCCTGTCCCACCTGTACCAGTCAGGGTTGGGGCAGGAAGGAGGAAGTGGCTGCCAGCATTCCAGGAGGGAAAGGACCTGACACAGTGAATTGGGGGCTACAGAATCATCGGAAGGGTCTGGGAAGTGGTGGCTAGGAGAGGTCATCCTGAAAGTGCGCTGGATTTCAGCAGGCTCGGCCGGTGCCCTCGGCCGGGAAATAATGGTCTCACGTGCCGTCATGGGCTTGACTGTGTCCCCTCAAAATTCAAATGTTGAAGTCTCGGTGCCCCGTAGCTCAGAATATGACTGTATCTATTAGAGATAGGGCCTTGAAAGAGGTAATTTAGGTAAAGTGAGGTCACTAGCCTCAATCCAAAAGGACTGGTGTCCTTACGGGAAGAGGACATCGATCGGGACACAGACACACTCACAGGGAAGACCGTGTGAGGACACAGGGAGAAGGCAGCTGTCTGCAAGCCAAGGAGAGAGGCTCAGGAGACACACACCCCCCCCGCCGGCGGATACCCTGGTCCCAGACTTGCTGCCTCCAGCACTATGAGACAGCATGTGGCTGTAACTGAGGCCACAGGTCTGGGGGACATGGTATGGCTCCAGCAGACTAAGACCCTTGCTGTTCCTCTTTATCTCCCCCTTCCTCTAGCCCTGGCCCTTGCAGCTTGCACCTGGAAGTGATTCACATCACTTCTGCCCACATTTCTTTGGCCAGAACAAGGCACATGGCCCCACCAATCCTCCAGTGAGGGGGAGGAAGTGCAAGCTTACCACATGCCCAGTGCGGAGGAGAACTGGAATGTTCGGGACCAGCCTAGGAATGGCCACACCCATCATTCTTCCCCACCTCACCCTGAGCCACCTGCAAAACCCCATCGGCCTGTAGCCCTAAGGACACCTTGGCCAGTAGACTCGAAGCGGTGGGACAGGCACCTGGGAGTGGGGTCGAGAAGAAAAGATGAGAACTTCTGTGAATATTCTTCACCTCTTTCTTTCTATCTTCAGTATGTTTTAAATGGGCATAATGCATTGGTACAGTAATGCATTTTGTCAAGTGTGAATCTGTCAGGGGTGGGGGAATATGCACAAAACTTCTGACCAATGGAGCGCAACATCAAGCACGTGGGCCTTAGCCTGCAGACACTGGTCCTGGATCTTACCCTGCTGCCCAACACTAGGCTGGGCCACACGGGACTCAGGGATCAGTGCTTTTCTCCTGAGAGGCCACACAGGGATGTCCTGTGACAAAGGTCCCTCTGTGGACACCAGCAGCTGGTCACTGCACTTGAGTCCTTTGGTAAAAGATACAGCATTCCTTCCAGTTAGTTCTGGGCTCTGCGCCCCTTGGCCACAGAGCAGAAAACAGAGGTGGGAGAGGAAGGATAGGGAGGAAGAGAGAGGGGAAAGGGGGAGAAGGCCAAGAAAGAAGGCACAAGAGAAAGTGAAAGAGGGGAGGATTTTCTAAAGCGAAGAGTTGGCACCAAGTCAGAGAACATGAAATCCCCTCCCCTTCCTGCGCTGAATCCCCCACTTTTTTAATAAGGCCCTGGTCGATTCTTAGAACAGGGCCCAGAAATCACGGTTTCAGAGATTGAGTCCTGGGGGGCAGGCGTGGATCCAAGGCCCAGCAGCCAGAGGAATTGCCAGGCACCCCACAGCCTCTCAGAGTCCACACCCCAGCTGGAGCAAAGCAGCTGATCTCAGGGCTTGCTCTTCCTGTCTGCCAGGTCTTTGACAGGCCACCTCCTGCACAGCTGTCCCCAGGGCCCTGCTGCAATGACCAGAGCTCAGCCCACAGAGGGAGGAGCACCTGGAAACCCCGGAGAGCCTGGGGGCCGGCCACAGGGAGGGAGGAGGTCCCCACTGCTGCTTCCTGCAGGAGACAGAGGAACACAAAATGTCATCAGCTGAATCCCCCTCCCCCGCCCACACCCCAGCCTAAAGTTGGGGTGAACTCTGCTAACTCTAAGGAAAGACAAGACTGAACGAACCGTCATAAAAATGCTGCCACAGGGCGCCCCAGGAGGTGGAACTAGATTTTCTAAGAGCAAGTTTCTGTTAGAAGTTTCCAGCCACTTCTATTTCTAGCAGGAGACAGTGAGTCTCCCTTAGAAAAACCTCCTGAGTGGTCCCTTTCAGGAAGTAGATGAAAGGCAAGTCAGCAAGCACTCCTCTCGGGGAGGGTGAGCCAGGACTCTTGGCACTGACAAAGACCATCCTCCCCAGCTCCCGCTGTGACAGCTAGGAAGGAGTGGGCAAATTGTGTCGGGGTCTAGAAGTCTTCCAAAGAAAGAGATCTCGACACCTTTACAGATTCTAAAGTATTGAAGCCTCTCTGATACCTCTAATACCGAATGTCTGACTCCTCTGGGGGAGGGTGGGGGGAGGCTGGATGTCATCATTCACAGACGTGCAGAACTGCAAGACATCTGTGCGGGGAGGGATGAGTCTCAGGAAAGAACGGAGAGGAGAGACACCGACTTGCCATGATGAAATGGAGCTCAGAATTAAATCCTCCAAAATATAAAAGGGGTCTTATACCGACCCCAAGCTGCTGAGGTGGGATACATCACATGCGGTCAGGTCAGAGGCCTTTAGGGATCAGAGCACGATCTTTTCCTAGTGCAAACAAAGAAGCAGTCCAGGAGCTGAAGTGGCTGGCCAAGGTCACTGGCCAGTTGGTTCACAGCTGGAAATGCATCCTGATCCTGGCTCTTCCCAACACCCTCTCTTCCCTGCAGCCTTTCCACCTCCCCATCGCCTTGTCAGAACCTCGTCCCCTTGCCGGAACCTCGCAGAGGTCTGAGAAAACAAATCTGTGAAGTTCTTCCTTCTGGAAACAAACGATTTTTTCATTTTGTCATGGCGACCCATTGTGTTACAGAAACCCTAAAGTGCCCTCTGCTGGAGAAGCTGAGGAATCAAGTCACATGTGGATTTTTTTTTTTTCCCCAGAGTTTCTGCAACACCAGGCACCTACACCTTGATAGTTGCTGATTTTCTTGGTGTGTGCGACCGTCATCACTGTCCATGTTTGCTAAAAAATTCAAAGTTCAGACGCTATTTCCGCCACTCAAGACCCTAAATCTCTGGTTGGAGCACTCTGTCACCATGTAATCAATCTGCGAATATTTTTTTAATATCTAGTTTGTTCCAAGCACTGTGTCAATTCCAGGAAACAAACACTTTGGTTTCTTTCACTCTATCTAAAGTGAAACTCAGGACTCCTGGGTGGCTCAGTCGGTGAAGCGTCTGCCTTTGGTTCAGGTCATGATCCCAGGGTTCTGGGATCAAGTCCCGCCTGGGGCTTCTTGCTCATCGGGGAGCCTGCTTCTCCCTCTGCCTGCCTCTCACCCTGCTTGTGCTCTCTCTCCCTCTCTCTGACAAATAAATAAATAAAATCGTTAAAAATAAATAAAGTGAAACTCATGTTTTATCTCCATTCCAGAATGCAATGCTTCATAAAGAAAATAAATTAGCCGCTAACCTGAAAACAGTATGTGAAGTTTCTAAATCTATTGTTTCATTTGGGGCCTTCCTTCTCACTTTTCCAAGCTACAGTTCCTAATTTTTGGGGCCATTTTCCCGATTACAGATAAGAAGGGAGAAAGCTTTCCATCTTTCGGTCACTTGTTCTCACAAAACGCCCGAACTACTCCAGGTTTTTCCCCTCACGGGCTTCACTCGGTTTCAAAGCTCTAGCAGTCTTCCTCGGCCTGCAGCTACAACCTGGCTTTCTCCCCCAGAGAGACAACTTTCTAAGACAATGACTCAAGCAATTCAATTTGCCCCTTCCATCTTTCTGCTGTCCCCCCGCCCCCCCACCCCGCTCCGTCTTTCTTCCCATGAGTTAGAAACAAAATGATTACATTCTCAAGCCCTTTCCCTTCCTTATTGTGTGTTTCCTCATGACTAATTGTGCTCCGTTGGATGTGTCTCAATTCATTTTGATTTTACGGTCTTGCTTGCTTTATTTCGTTTTTTTAACCTTTAGGAGAAGACGCCTCTCAGATTTGCACCCCTTGCTCCAGATGGCCACTTTCCTTTCCAACAAACAGCATATTTTCACCTTAATTGGCCCTGGCAGCCAACCAAGATCTAAATTAGCACCACAGCGAAGTCCACGTGATACATTACTAACAGAGTTCGTTAAAACAAACAAAGTGTGGGGGAGGGGCTTTCTGGAACTTACTCTGAACCCGAGTTCAAGAAATAAGGCAATTTATACCTACCATTTTTTTCTCAAAACCTGAATGCAAAAATGATTGAAAGGAAGGTTTAAACAACCCAAACCATCCAAACAACCTCTATAACCTTAGGCGTTAGATGTGTGATTGTCTCTTTCTAGACCAGCCCAAATTCCATATTGATGTTTGCCACCAAATGTTAAATTGTTAAGTGTGAACATCTTGACTCTTAACAACAAAACTGTACAATAACTCTTAACATCAGAATATTTCTGACCTACCCTCTAGATCAGTGATTAATATATATTAATATATGTGTGTGTGATTTTATCTCTGCCCCTTTGCGCATTTGATCCTCTTTTCCTGTGCTTATCCTGACTCCACAATAAGACTGAAGTTTCCTCTTTAAACTCCTAGTGCCTAACTCAATACCCAGAATGGTCAGGGTCCTGAATGTGAGGAAAATGAATAGGTCCAGAATTATTTTATAAGTCTCATCCACCTCAAGTGTTTGCAGAATGCGGCTATCTGGATCCTGAGAAAGAATAGCATTGTCCTATGGTTATGATTGAGCTAAGCCAGAAGCAGGCTGGATGATCACCTCCCCTGGCCTGAGTCTCTGGCCCCCTCTGCTGGTGCTCCTTCCAATTGTCCATATATAAGGCAAACCAAGACGGCCTTCTAGGCATGGCCAACCTCCAAGTATCCTTGGTATGAAGACGTCACACCTGGCTCTCGGAAGAAAATCAGGCTTAGAAAACATTAGACATCTACATCATTTTAGAACACATTAGAGATAACTGATAAAAAGAAAAGTCTTGAGCATACCATGTCTTAGAGGAGCCAGAAGGTGTGAGAGGTAAACCAAATGAACCAATACAAACTTGTCCTTCCCTAGATCTATCTATTTGTAAACTCCCAAAATAATTGGAAAATTAAGAAACATACTACTGAATAGCCCATGAGTCCAAGAAGAAATCAAAGATGAAATCAGAAAATATATTAAGCCAAAAAAAGAGAAATATATTTTAAGTCAAGCAAAATGGATACATGATATATCAAAATTCATGATATTCCAGTTAATGCAATCATTAGAGGGAAATTTGCTTTAAATATTTTTATTGGAAAGAAATAAAATGCCTAAATACATTTTCTAATTGTCTACCTTAAGAACTTAGAAAAAAAAGAGCAAATTAAATGTGATATAAGCAGAAAGAAAACAATAAATATTAACACAAAAATCAATTAAATAGAAATGGAAAACAATACAGAAAAAAATCAATGATATTGAAAGTAAGTTAATTGAAAGATCAATAAAATTTATAAACCTCTAGCTACACTGATCAACGAAAGAGAAAGGGGGAGAATACACACAAATTACCAACAGCAGGAGTGAAAAGGAACAGTACCATAGATTCCTATGGAAGTGATAAGAAGGGGACATCATGAAAAGACTTCTACCTAAATCTGACAATTTAGACGAATGGAAAAACTTCTTGAAACACACAGATTATTAAAACTAACTACAGTAGGGCGCCTGGGTGGCTCAGTCGGTTGGGCGACTGCCTTCGGCTCGGGTCATGATCCTGGAGTCCCAGGATCGAGTCCCGCATCGGGCTCCCTGCTCGACGGGAAGCCTGCTTCTCCCTCTGGCCCTCCTCCCTCTCATGCTCTCTCTATCTCAGTCTCTCTCTCAAATAAATAAATAAATAAAATCTTTAAAAAAAAAAAAAACTACAGTAAAAACAGAAAATCTAAATAACTCCATAGCCACTACAGAAATTGAATTCATAATGAAAAGTCATCCCACAAAGAAAACTCCAGGCCTAATTGGCCTCATCAGTGAATGCTATCAAATACTTAGAAAGGAAAAGAAGACCCCCCCACCACCATCCTATGGAAACTCTCTCAGAAAATAAAGAACACACTTTCCCACTCATTGTATGAGATCCTCATTATTCTAATATCAAAACCAGACAAAGACATTCCAAACAAAGAAAAAAAGTACAGATTAATAGCTCTCATAAAAAAAAATACTAGCAAATTCAATATAGCAATACACAGGAAATGAGATTTATCCCAGCTATTTAAGATTGGTTAAGATTCAAAAATCACAGTTCACCATAACAGGATAAACTTTGTTTTAAAGATTATCTTCATAGATGTAGGGAAAAAAATTGAAAAGATTCTGTTTTCATTGATGTAAAAAACTCTTAGCGAATTAAGAACAGAAGACTTCTTCAAACGGTTAAAGAAATATGAAAAACCTAGAGTTAACCTCATACTTTTTTTAAAATTTTATTTTATTATGTTATGTTAATCACCATACGTTGCATAATTAGTTTTTGATGTAGTGTTCCATGATTCATTGTTTGGGTATAACACCCAGTGCTCCATTCAATACGTGCCCTCTTTAATGCCCATCACCAGGCTAACACATCCCCCCACCCCCCTCCCCTCTAGAACCCTCAGTTTCTTTCTCAGAGTCCATAGTCTCTCATGGTTCATCTCCCCCTCTGATTCCCCCCCCCTTCATTTGTCCCTTCCTACTATCTTCTTTTTTTTTTTTTTTTAACATACAATGTGTTATTTGTTTCAGAGGTACAGGTCTGTGATTCAACAATCTTACACAATTCACAGCGCTCACCATAGCACATACCCTCCCCAATGTCCATCACCCAGCCACCCCATCCCTCCCACCCCCCACCACTCCAGCAAACCTCAGTTTGTTTCCTGAGATTAAAAATTCCTCATATCAGTGAGATCATATGATACATGTCTTTCTCAGATTGACTTATTTTGCTTAGCATAATACTCTTTAGTTCCAACCACGTTGTTGCAAATGGCAAGATTCAGTTCCTTTTGATGGCTGTATAATATTCCATTGTGTATATATATATATATATATATACCACATCTTCTTTATCCATTCATCTGTCGATGGACATCTTGGCTCTTTCCATAGTTTGGCTATTGTGGACATTGCTACTATAAACATTGGGGTGCATGTACCACTTCGGATCACTACGAGCTAACCTCATATTTAATGGCAAAAGACTGGAATGGCTTTCATCCTCTGTTTGGGAACAGGCAAAAAATGCTTGCTCTCATGGCATCTCTTCATCAGTAAACTGGGAATTTTAGCCTATGTAATCAGGCAAGAAAAAAGAATAAAAAGCAGAAAGAGTGGAAAATAGAAAGTAAAATTATCTTTTGTGCAGACTACATGGTCATGTATACAGAGAACCCTAACAAACCTACAAAAAAACTAGATCTAATAAATGAGATAAACAATGTCTCAAGTTACAAAGTCAATATAAAAAATCAATTGTGTTTCTGTACATTAGCAACTAGAACTTGCACCTTTTTAAATTAGCATCCCAAAACATGAATAATTAGAGAGAAAGTTAACAAAATATGGCTAAGACTTATAACTGAGACATATAAAACATTGTTGAGAGAAACCAAAGAGGCCCAAAATAAATGGAGACATATACCATTTTAATGGATTAGAAAACTCAATCTCCCTAACTAATCTGTAGATGTGATACAACTCCAAACAAAATTCCAGCAAGGCTTTCTAGTGGAAATCGACAAGTTGATTCTAAAATTTACATGGAAATACAAAGGACCTACCACTGCCAAAATAAACTTGGAAAGAAGTACAAAGTTAGAGGCCCTCATGATCTGATTTCAAGACATTGTGTAGTGACACTAATTAAGACAGTGTAATATCGTGTAAGGATAGACATATAGATCAATGAATGGATGGAAGACGAAGTACAGAAATAGACCCCCATGTATAGGATTAATCGATTTTCAACAACTTGCCAAGGCAATTCAGTGGGGGAAAGTATAACCTTTTCAATAAATTGAACTGGAACAACTGGACACTCATATTATTCATATAGAAAGAAAAGTGAATGCTAGCCTTCAGAACATACATAAAAATGAGAATGACTGAAATTTGAAAGACCAATACCAAGACAATACCGAGTGTCAATGATGTGGAACAAACTCTCATACACTGCAGGTGGAACTGTAAATGGTACTGCCACTTTAGAAAACATTTTGGGAATTCCTTATGTGATTGAACATATACTTACCACATGACCTAGGAATTCTACTCCTAAGTATGTGCCCAAGAGATATGAAAACAGATGTCCACACAGACTTGTACGTGAATGCTCATAGCATCTTTATTCATAATAGTAAAAAAAAAAAAAAGTAGAAACAATCTAAAATGTCCTTTAGTAAATGAATGGATAAAAAATTGTGGTGGGCACCTGGGTGGCTCAGTTGGTTAAGCTTTTGGCTCCTGGTTTTGGCTCAGGCCAGGATCTCAGGGTCCTGAGATTGAGCCCCGCATTGGAGAGCCTGCTTGGGATTCTCTCTCACTCTCCCTCTGCCCCTCCACCTTCTGCTCAAGCCTGCTCTCTCTCTCTCTCTCTCAAAAAAAAAAAAAAATGTGGTATACCATAGAATACTACTTAGCAATAAAAGAAATAAACCACTGATACAATAACATAGATGAATCTCGAAAAACATTATGCTGAGCAAAAGAAGTGAAACACAAAAGAGTACATGCTGTATAATTCCATTTACAAAAGAGAAATTCAATTTACGGTGACAGAAAGCAGATCAGTGGTTACCTGGGGCAGAGGCAGGGATTAACTGGGGATGAGACACAAGGGTATTTGGGGGGTAATAGGAATATCCTGTAGCAGTTACTGGCTGAGCCCACACAGTTACAATCACCATCACCGGGAGCCTTCCATAGCCACAATGGATCTGAGGGCCCATGACCAGATGTCTTCCCATATGCTTCTTATTCGACCCTCACATCCGCTCTTGACTTAGATACTATAGCGTCATCTCCGTTACTACAGAAAAGGAGCCTGAGGCTCAGAGAACTGAGTGACTTTCCCAAGATCAGACAGAAAACAACAGACCCCAGATTCAAGTCCAAGTGCCAAGGAACTTGGTTTTCCGTATTCTCTCACGCCCCCTATCCTTGTGTCCCTGGGAAAAGTAACTCAGTTGTCACGTAATTAGTTTGACTCACCAGCAACAATAACATAGCCATCACAGACTGATAACAGATCTCAGAAGTACAGCTGTGATACAGCATTCACTTTCTTGCTCAGGCGATTCCACATGTATTTCTCAAAGAACGGAGTGACTATCACTCTGCTTGCTTTACTTAGGAGTTCAACTCAACAAATATTCTGTGGGTGAGGCATCATTAGAAGCTGGGCATTCGGCAACAGCAAGGAATAAGACACGGTCTTTACCTTCCAGGATCTCACCCTCCTGAGCAGCTTAGGCCTGTTTTCTCCTGTGCGTGGTCCTAACAGCAACTATCACTTCCTACCGAAATCCCATGAGCTCACTCCCAGTGACTCACAGAATGGGGAAGATAAAGGTCCGTGTGCAGATTTTCTGTTTTCCAAGAAGTACCATGGTGTTTTCCAAATGGAGGCAGGATCTGACAAGTACAAGAGCAGTGGTGGCCACAAAGGAAAGAGTAATTTAAATCAGATGGAGCATGCAGAATCCAGAACAGAGTGCTGTTCTGTACGGGGCTGTAAGCCTTGAGCCCGACATCCTCAAGCTACTTGAGAATTGCTAATGTTACGTTTGGGGTGGTTTGTCAACGTAACTGCCAAATCTGGTACGTCAAGGAAACAGTCCACGGGTCTCCTTATGTCTTCCCCCACAAATTTTAAAACACCTCTGTTACGTATGATCACATATACCTCGAAGCACAAACATTTCTCCGGGAAAGGAGGTGGTGAGACAGACACTTTAGTGATAAGCACCATTCCTTTTATTTCTGCCCAGGCTTTTGAAGGCAGGGGAAGGAAAGCTGAGGTTGTCATTCCTGCATGAAACAATGAGGAAACTCTCCGGCCCACACCTGGTTGTCCAGTGAGCCTGCTGTACCAGGCCCTTTCGTGTGTTTTTGCTGGTATTCGTGTAGCTGAAGCCCCTCTCCCAACTTCTCGTTTGAAACTCAGCCCCAGCTTCTCCTCAATGAAATGAGCTTTCTGTGCCGCTGCAGTCTGAAAATATTTAACAGCAAGAATGATCACGTAAATCATATGCAAATCAAATCAGCAAATATACTATTCTATTTCATATCTAGATAAACAGAATTATATGGATACCACAATGGCTTATCAAGAGATAGAAATTATGATGAAAATAAATCATCAAATCATTCTAGTAGTTTCCAAATCATGTATTCATTTTTAGAAGTTTTTGCAGGGGCACCGGGGTGGCTCAGTCGTTAAGCGTCTGCCTTTGGCCCAGGTCATGGTCCCAGGGTCCTGGGATCAAGCCCCATATTGGGCTCCCTGCTCAGCGGGAAGCCTGCTTCTCCCTCTCCCACTCCCCCTGCTTGTGTTCCCTCTCTCGCTGTCTTTCTCTCTGTCAAATAAATAAATAAAATATTTTTTTAAAAAAGAAGAAGTTTTTGCAGTAATTTCTTTCTTTCTTTTCTTTTTTTTAAATGGCTACCTTCCAGATGCTACCCTTGCCTGAACTGTAATTCAACTTCGGGAATCACACGAAACTCTTCCAAGAACTTCCAAATTAGGTTGATATTTGGTGGTGGCTTTTTGTCTTAATCAGTCCATTTCTCTTAGCACCAACAATTTAGTTTTTGGTGCTGAGTCTTTTCTTGGCTTCTACTGAAATCCTGGGAATTTCACTAAACAACTTCTTAGCCCTTATCATACTGTTTGATATTCCTGCTTATTCAAATTTCTATTATCAACTAGGCCATAAAAATTTTAGTGAAATGTCATATTCAAGAATTGGTTTAGGGGCGCCTGGGTGGCTCAGTCGTTAAGCATCTGCCTTCGGCTCAGGTCATGATTTCAGGGTCCTGGGATCGAGCCCCGCATTGGGCTCCCTGCTCCGCGGGAAGCCTGCTTCTCCCTCTCCCACTCCCCTTGCTTGTGTTCCCTCTCTTGCTGTGTCTCTCTGTCAAATAAATAAATAAAATCTTTAAAAGAAAGAATTGGTTTAATTTTATCGACTTAGGTTCATCAGCAGCTCACAGAGCTTTGTGAACATCGGTCAGCTACACTGAAAGGACTTAAGATTCATTAAGACTTGTCATCAAAAATGCATTTACATATAATTTATTTTAAGATTAATAACATTTTTCTTATAATCGATATTTTCTTTTATTTTAAAATGACATATTTCTTCACTATTTCCTCATTTATTATATCTTCTGCTTCCTTTCTTATTTTCTCTGTTTAAACTGACAGGTTAGTGATTTTATCAGTCATCAAAATAATCTATCAGCTTTGATACTGGAGATACATTTCTTAAATAGCTAAACAAAGTTTTGAGGTTTGTAAGAATATTATTTACTTAAGCCAAATCACTGATCAAAAAAAATTTTTTCCCAAACATGTAACCACTCTTATTTTACAGTTTCTATGTAAGTGACTATTTGTACATCTTTTTTTTTTTTTTTTTTGAGAGGTGGGAGAGGGCCAGAGGGAGTCTCAAGAGGCTCCACGTCCAGTGCAGAACCAATGTGGGCTTGATCTCATAACCCTGAGATCATGACCTGAGCCGAAATCAAGAGTCAAATGCTTAACCGACTGAGGCCCCCAGGCGCCCCAACTATTTGTCATCTTAATGTGATTTCCAACCTGCTTTGCAACGCTAGCAATTCAGGTTATCACTTAAGGTTATTGAACATTTCAAATATCCCCTCCTCTTGTTAGGAAATCTAAGCACGTTATCTGTAGATCCACGCATTGGAAGAGTTTTCTGCTCTGTAGGAACTGTGTAAGTTTCATATTTGGATCTGGAGTCCTCAACTGTAAGCCAAAGAGCGCTTTCCCTCCGTAAATTGTCTGATCATCAAGCAATACTCAAAAACATGGGGCCAGGGCACTTGTACCCGTTGGCTTTGCAATAGGCACGGTGATAATGGGCCAATGCTAGGTACCCTGTGCCTGGATGTACCAGTCCTGGGCCTGGCTGCGCTCAGATTCATTCCTCACTCTTGTCCTGCTCTGCTGTATATTGGGGGGGGGGCAGCCTACAGCCCGCAAGCCCCCATCAGCTGGGTTTAGCCCAATGGGAGGCACTGGTGGGAGGGGAAGAGAAGCCAGGGTATTTCTTTCCCTCCCTGTCTGACCCTGGTTCCATCACCAGCAGCATCTACATGCCGCCAGCAGTCTCAGGCCCTGTGGGGCTCAGGTTCTGCCAGGGGACCCAAGCCCCTGGCCTGATGACCCTCATCACCTCTTCCCTCTGTCTCGCAGCCTAGAGATGGAATGCCTTCCCGCTGCTCCTAGCCTTGCATTGTCCCTGTTTGGTTTTGAGCCCCTCCATCATCTGGATAACTAATTCTCTGCATTAAATCTCCTTTACTATACATAAGTTTTCCTGGTGAATCTTTGGCTGATGTGTTGTGATTTCAGAGTCAAATAATAACATCCCACGAGGAGGCTCTGTCCCTCTCCCTCACTGGCCTCATGGTCTCCCTTCAACGCCTCCCACGGCTTGAGTCTGCCCATTTGCCATTTCTGTCCAACTCTGCTTTCAGCAACATCCTGTTTGTGGTTGGAAATCGCCCATGAAGGGAGCATTGACACCATGGAAACCTGCCAATGCTATACACCAGGCCCACCCTGCCCACCCCCCACTCCACCAAGAGCCAGTTGTTGACCATTTACCAGCACACTACTAGTTGAGCTCTGGATGAGTAGTGTAACGGACACTTGGCCCTTTAACTAGGGACAGGGCTTCCCTGTGGAGGTCGGTTTTCAGCTTGCCCCACCTAGTCTTTAAAGAGAAGTGGCCCAGGATGAAGACAACTGTGTGCCCTAGGGAGCCATGGGGCTAACCACTATCTCTGGAGCAGGGTCGGCACTATGGTGAGATAAGACAGGAATTTGCCTCCAGCACAGAATTTTAGAAGGCATCCAAAAAACCAGTTACCAAGATGACTGGTATTTTAATGCAATATTCTCAAAGGTCAAAATTAATGCCCCCAAACCCATGGTAAACAAAATGTCACATTTTTAAGTAAAAACAGGATTGGACAGGTCTGAGGTGAGTAAGGTGAGTGATGCAAGTCCAGGTGGGATCCTGTGTCGGTTAGATTTTTTTTTTATAAATTTTTTTAAAAGATTTTATTTATTTATTTGACAGAGAGAGACAGCGAGAAAGGGAACACAAGCAGGGGGAGTGGGAGAGGGAGAAGCAACCTTCCCGTGGAGCAGGGAGCCCGATGCGGGGCTCAATCCCAGGACCTGGGATCATGACCTAAGCCGAAGGCAGACGCTTAATGACTGAGCCACCCAGGTGCTCCTCGGTTAGATTTTGATACTTTGTTCATATGGGGGATTTTGCATTAATTTGGATTTTTTTAATTGCATTTGGCAATGATTTCTTGGCTATGACACCAAAAACACAGTCAACAAACAAAAAATAGATGAATTAGAGCTCATCAAAATTGAAAACTTTTGTGCATCCAAGTACTCTATTAATGATATTAAAAACACATGCAGAATGGGAGAAAACACTTGCAAGTTACATACCTGATAAGGAATTAATATCCATCATATATAAAGAGCTCCTAAAACTCAACAACAAACAAGCCAATTTAAAAAACGAGCAAAAGACTTTGCTCTTTCTCCAAAGAAGCTATACAAATGGCCAAATAAACACATGAAAAGATTCCTCATTAGAGGAATGTGAATCAAAATGATGATGAGATACCACCTCACACCCATTGATTGGGATGACTATTATTAATAAAGAAATAAAAAAAAAAAAACAAGTTTTGGAGGGGTGGAGAAATTGGAACTCATGCATTGCTGATGGGAATGCAAGCTGGTGCAGCTGTTGTGGAAAACAGTATGGTGGTTCCTCAAAAAATTAAAAATAGGGGCACCTAGGTGGCTCAGTCGGTTATGTGTCCGACTCTTAATTTCAGCTCAGGTCATGATCTCAGGGTTGTGAGTCAAGCCCTACGTCGGGCTCTGTGATGAGCATGGAGCCTACTTAAGATTCTCTCTTATTCTCCCTCTGCCCCTCACTCTCCCCACTCACACTCTCTCTCTCTCTCTAAGAAAAAAACAAAAAAATAAAAATAAAAATAGAACTTTTAAATTCCACTTCTGGGTCTCTAGCCAAAATAATTGAAAGCAGGGACTCAAACAGATATTCGTACACCCATGTTCATAGAGTTCAGCATTATTCATAATAGCCAAAATGTGGAAGCAACCCAAGTATCCACTGACGGATGTAGAGATACACAAAATATAGTCTATCTATAAAATGCATATTATTCAGCCTTAAATAGGAAGGACCCTCTGACACAAGCTACAACATGGAAGAACCTTGACATAAGCCAGTCACGAAAAGACAGATACTGTTTGATTCCATGTATATGAGGTTCCTAGAATAGTCAAATTCATAAAAATATAAATTAGAATGGTGGTTTTCAGGGGTTGGTGGGGAAGAAGAAGTGGGGTGTTAGTGTTTAATGGGGACAGCGTTTCAGTTTGGGAAGATGACAATGTTCTGCAGTTGGGTGCTGGTGTTGGTTGCACAACACTGCGAAATGTACTTAAAGCCACCGAATTATACATTTAAAAGTGGTTAAAATGGTAAATTTTACATTATATATATTTTACCACAATTTCTTAAATACTACCTTAAAATATTATTTGTCTTATTACTGAGGTCTTTTTGGCTCCTCCTTAAGTTGTGCACCTGTGAAGAGTACCTCATTTGCTTCACCCTAATCCCAGGCCTGCTCTGGAACACTTGTCAGGCAAATGTAGACAGTTTTCTGGTTTTCTTATTAGTAGAATGACGCTTGTCCCCGACATGAGCGTGGCCCGTGGTTGTTGGTAACCCTCCGCCCCCAAATAAAGCAGCTGGGGGGTGAGGACCTGGTTTGGGGTCGGGGTGGGGAGACGGAGTGTGGCTGACGGTGGATTTGGAATGCTGAGTGATGGACCAGCTTCGGAGAAGTCTTTGAGACAAGATATAAGGTGCCAAGGAGAGAGTGGGCTTA